CCATTAAGTAAGGTGCCAATGACTTTTTAGAAAAATTTAGATTGCTTTTTTTCAAACTTGGCAACTTTAAGATATATGGACTTCATCACCCAGAATTCCCTCACTAGCATGGGAAGTTTGCCAAGTTTGAAAAACACTGGTTTAGATAAAGGTTCTTACTAAAGACTATGAAGAATGAATAGGATAGTAGCCGCCAAAGAGAAAGACAAATCTTTTCATTTGGAAAATAAAGACTAGAACTGACAGCTCGGAACCCAAAGAATTGGTATATATCATGTTTTAAGTAAAAACAAAGATAGAAGAGATACATCTGAACAGGATGCCAACATTTTTCAGGATTATAAATCAAAGCAAGCCACAATAAAGACTTAAAACCTGGTGCTTTGGAAGGAGAATGAAGGGGTTTTAATCTGGAACATAGATATGCTGTAGAAAATGGCTTGTTCTTATTTGGTCAGAGTTGTTTTAGTATTCATATTGTTACATTGGATTACATCTGGGTCTGTTCTTGAAGATGGTTGGAAAGTTCAATCACTAGAAAAGATTGCCTCCAGACTACCATATATTTCACCATTTTTTACAGTCTTTGCTGCCTTCCACTTCTGCTCTAATCCCAAATTAGGTTGCTGGTATTCTTCTGTAAATTCCTCACAGATGCATCTTCTCAGTGCATCTGAGAAGAAAGCTTCTTGGAGTGGGATTCACATTGATTTTCATGGGATGACTCACCTTAGTAGGTGGGTAATAGATCTTAATTGCCATTTTGGTGTTATATGAAGATTTTTCATTGCTTCTTTTGTATGCCCTTGAAGAGTGGCATTTAAAAAAAAAAGAAAGAAACACTTTGTATTTACAACATAATGTGCATGCAGAGGCTGGCTGGGGAATTCTGTAGTTGAAAATGCACACATTTTAGGATTGCTAAGGTTGAGAACTTTGCTAGAGTAAATATCTAGAACTTTATGTCCAGGTATTTCTAAGCAAAGATGCCCTAAAATTCTGGTGTGCTACTGGGAGAGCTGATTATATTTGGCCTGACTTTTTAATGCCTGTCTTCATCATAGTAAATTTCTGTACAGAATTTTAATGTTGCTGGGGATGCTTTTTTTATGTGACTGTAGGTAAAGGCAGGTTGTAACAGCTATTTCACAAAAATTAGTGGGGTTTTTTTGTTTTTTGTTTAACAGCAGAGAGAGATTTAGACTAGAGAAATAGGACAATAATTCCATTTGAAAGCAACATTAATTTGTGTAGATTCCAGTTAGCAGTTGCTTTTCCTCAGTCATCCAGGAAAATCAGTTTTGTGGGTGGCTTTTTGATAAAAATTCAAACTGCCACCACATGTATTTATTCAAGCACTTATGTTACTAAGCGTTATGACTGCAGTCCATTAGTGCCATCTACTGGGCAGTAGGGAGAACATTAAAAATTTAGCACCAGAAATCTCTACATATTTCCTTCTAAGCTGCCCTTCTAGGCTCAAATGAACTGTAATCCTAAGATCCAGTGGTGGGATTCAGCCAGTTCACACCACTTCGGCAGAACCGGTAGCTAATTTTTTGTTGCCCAGGCCCAGAATGGATTTCCGGAAGCAGCATCCACACAGAGAACCGGTTGTTCACATATTTGAATCCCACCAAGAGCCCAGAAATTAGAACAGGGCCGCGGCGTGCCAGAAACCGGTCTGCGCAAACAAGCAAAGCCCCATCTGTGGGACGCAGGCAGCACACAAAACCACGCACCCTCTGGTCCGCGGAAAAACCTCTCTCCACAGAACCAGTCCCTGGTGCCGAAAAGGTTGTAGACCTCTGGCTTAGCAAACCACACCTGGCTTATGTTCATACAATATACTAAGCCAAGCCCAAATAAAACATGATTTCATGGGTTCTGTAAATGAAGACAGCTAAACCTCTCTAAACACACATGCATAATGTAGTACCCTGGAGCATATTTCTCATAGACTTCAATTAACACAAAACTTAGTATCTCTCCTGATGTACCTGGAGATCATAGGCTTTTGTTTGGAGTAAAATATAACGTGCTGGTTATCATCTTTAAACTCTGTATGGTCTGGATACAAAATACCTGTCTCATTCCTGCTCACTGAGGTCACTCAATGAAGTTGACTTGCAGAAGTAATTGGCTTGCTTTGGTGGATACTTGGGCACTGAGCCTTTTTAAGGCTGTCTCTGGCCTGTAGAATTACACAGTTGAATTGAGAGAACTGACCTTATTAGCCTTTAAAAATAGACGGGTGGATGGTCATAGCTAGACAGACAGACAAGAGATAATATAGATGATTGATAGGGATGAGAAGGGAATTTATTTATATCTTTGTGTGTGTGTGTGTGTGTGTGTGTATTACATTGCCTTTTCAAACAAAGTTTTTAGTTTGGCAAATCTTCAATTTTTATGTATTTTATTTTAATTAATTATATTTCATGATAAAAAGGTGTGTGTCTCCTAGTCAGCAGTGTAAAACAATATGGTAGTGGCTTCTAAAATTCTTGCTAAAAGAAAATGGCATTTCATTCGAACTCCCTCCATTCATTTCTATGTAACAGAAATCAGGAACGTGTTATTCTTTCCTATATGCATATCGCAGGGAGGCACAGTGGCTTAGTGGTTTAAGATGCTGGGCTTGTTGGCTTGAAAGCTGAGAACCCAGGTTCAAGACCTGAGTGCTACATGACAGGGTGAGCTCCCAGCCTCACCACAGCTCGTCAACCTAGCAGTTTGAAAGCATGCAAATGTGAGTAGATACGTACCATTTCGGTGGGAAGGTTAACAGTGTTCTGTGACATAAGTCTGGCCCACATGACCACAGAAATGTCATCAGACAGTGCTGGGGTTCAATGGCCTTGACACAAAGATGAGCACTGTCCCCTATAGTCAGCAACAACTAGCAGAGTAGAATCCTTACATGCATATAGGCATGATTTGTGAAGCTTCTCGCTCTTCTTGTGCATTAAGAACCATACACGAAGGACCTACTTCACATTATTTTATGTGCAAGAGAAGAACATAGCTCCTATAACACAGAGGGAGCATCCTTGGATGGATAAACATCTCATAAATATCTCACCAGGACTATAGTGCAAACTCACAAATTCAACTCAGAATTCAGAAATTAGTGTAATATAACCTGGCCAATAAGAACAGTGGCAGTGATCTACAAAGCACAGGGATGCCAGACAAAAGTGAATATTCTCCATTCTCCTTTCAACAATTTCTTTAAATATACATGTGACCTTTATTAGATGCTTCCTATGTGAAAAATACAACAGTATTAACATGATTGCCAAAGTAATCTCTAGTACAGGCAGTAAATAGATAGACTCAGCACCTCGATGGCCATTTTTCTTCACAGCTGAACCAACCTGATGGCTTAGATCACGGATGTCAAACTCACCGTGTCACATGATGTGTCGTATCGTGACTTTTTTCACATTGCCGGACCTGGGGTGGGCGCGGCCTCCACGATACAACCGGTCCCGGGCTGGCAGTTTGACACCCCTGGCTTAGATTGTTGGGCTTTATTTGGGAAAACCTGTTTAGATCTCCTATGCTACGAACATGTTGTAGAATGATGATCTGTTTTTTTAAGCAGGACAGAAAGAGGGTTAAGTACAATATTCTGACAGATTTACATGACAGAAAAACTTCTAAGAAAGATCAGAGGACAATCAGTAATAGCTCCAGCAAAATGTTTTTCAAACTTGGCAACTTTAGGATCTATGGACTTCAACTCCCAGGAATCTCTACTATGATCTCTAGATCCTACAGAAATGAATAAAATTTCATTTCTGACCTATGTATTAGAAAGATATAACAGATAATTCTTACAGCCTCATAAACTGGGATCTAGACCTTCTGAAATGCACTCCTTGATGTCCTGTAGAACTCCAGTCTTCAGCTGATGGGATAATTGAGTTTAAGAAAAGATGGAATACTGGTTTTTGAACAAAATATTTGCTTGATAATTTAGTTGCTTTTAATAAAAAATATAGTTATACCTGGAGATATGGACTTTCTACAATGCTTACAATTTTTTTTGTCTCTAGGCAAAGGTCTCTATAATGGTCTTAACAGAACTAAATAACATAAAATTCTTACTCTTGCAGATTTTTTTCTGCCTATTAACTGTACCATTTCTACAGTGATATAATTTACAATTTCTGCAATCTACAATGTGCTATTATTTTCTCGGCTTTTGTCTGGCAGCAACATATAACTTTTGCACCATTTTGTTCACCAAAATGAGAATTCTGCATATAAAAAAATATTGCTCAGTATTTATCAAAATCACTTATCTAGCATAGATTTTCTGTATCAGGCACTAATTTTCCTTCTCTATTTATAAAAATTCCTAAGAAATGAAGTTAATAACACTAATGATAAAACCTATCTATTTTCTAGGGAAACTATGCAAACTGTCCTTTTGCTCTACCTGGGCATAGTGTTCTACTGAACACAAATAAATATTTATAGATTCCAACTGATTTTCTTTTGAAGCCTGCTGAAACCCTTCTGATTTCATAATAGCATGCATCATTTTTGATTTGTGATGTAGCCATTTTGATATCTAATATATGAACCAATCTTCCTCAGAATGGACCTCTGAAGATGTGAGCAGACTGTAACTTCACAACATTTTGACACGTGTTTCCAAGCACATTCACCTAAAACTGGGGTCCCCAACCCCTGGTCCGTGGACCAGTACCAGGCCGCAGCATGCCAGCAATCAGTCTGCACAAACAAGCAAAGCCCCATCTGTGGGATGCATGCAGCACACAAAACCATGCCCCCTCTGGTCCATGGAAAAACCTCTCTCCATGGAACCGGTCCCTGGTGCCCAAAAGGTTGGGGACCTCTGATCTAAAAGAAAGCCCCACTGAATTCAGTTGGCATCTTCCAAGTAATTGGTAGCTGGAATTACAGCTTGAGTTTCATTCTGAGGCCATCTTTATCCATCAGATGAGTAAAAAGGAAAAAGAGTATAACAGATAAACATTTATTCCTTGGTGATTACATATTTCAGAGGTCTTCTATTTAAAAACTTTTTAAAAAAACAGAACATGTATTTATAATACAAAAAGTTATTAGTAGATAGGTTACACAGAAAAACTAATACCCTAAAATTAAAAACACATTTTTTTCTTGACAATGATTACAGCAGTGATGCATCAGGTTCATGCCAGGTCAACCTTGGCCATTGCATCAGTTTCTTTATATACCCCCCTTCCCAAATCCAGCTAACTATAAGGAAAAGTGGTCAGCGGTTTCCATGAATTTCTGTTAATATCTGTATCGTAACTCCCTAGAAGAAAAGATTACAAGAAAAGGCAAAAATCAGCAAAACATTGCAAAGCACACATTTAAATGTAAGCAGAAGATACCAAGTTTGGAATTAGGGGAAGATTTACTATATAAAACAGCTGCAACTAAAATCTGAAAAATTTGCTAATATTTTAAATGCCATAACCTTAACTGTGTGCTCCAATGCAAAGGCCTAGATCAGTGTTTCTCAACCTTGACAATTTTAAGGCATGTGGACTTCAACTCCCAGAATTCCACAGCCAGCAATGCTGGCTGTGGAATTCTGGGAGTTGAAGTCCACATGCCTTAAAATTGTCAAGGTTGAGAAACACTGGCCTAGATAAATGTGGTCTTCGTTTAGATACCACAATTGAGATGAGCAACTCCACTACTAAGCAAAGCCGTCTCTGAGTGGGAAATCATAAGAGGGTGATTGTGTTTTCCTTTCTCCACTTCCCTTGGATGGTCATCTAGACAGTACTCGAACAGCTGACTCAAAACTGGCACGATCAATCAGTTTTACATATTGACTTTTATTTATTTATACCCTGCCTTTATGATTTTTATGTATAACTCGAGGCAGAGAACATACCTAACACGCCTTCCTTCTCCTATTTTCCCCAAAACAACAACCCTGTGAGGTAGGTTGGGCTAAGAGAAAGTGACTGGTTCAAAGTCCCCCAGTTGGCTTTCATGTTTAAAGTGGGGCTAAAACAGTCTCCTGGTTTCTAGCCTGATGCCTTAATTGCTAGTCAAAATTGGATCTAATTTGCCTCCAAACCATTATCCCACTCACCCAGCATTGAGATAATTAATAAGAAGAGAATTAATGTTTGCATTTACATTTATTGGAGAGGAAGGGATTACAAGAAAGTAAGCAGGCACACAATGGGGAATACATATTGAAAGCAATGGGCTTTTGCTGGCAGCCATGAGCATGCTACACAAACTGCCCTATTGTGTGCCTGCTTACTCTCCAGTAATCCCTTTCTTTCCAATCTTTTTGCTCTGCAAGGGGGAGAGGAAATAAAACAATAGGTCAGTCACAGGACAATGCACAATGACACTGATGATGATCATGTCACTGAGGGACAGGACCACAGTCACTTTGAATGGTTGCTGAACAAGGCAGTCAGTAAGTGAGGACTATATGTAGTACACCACAGTCCCACTAATATAGATTTCTGTACTAACACTGTTAATGAGATCTAAGTATGGGGAATAAATTTTCAGAAACATTTCTTCTAAAAAATGTGGCATGAAATATGATTTAACTAGGTCACATCAAGATCTTACAGCTGCATTCACACAGCTGTTAGCTGAATTAGTTTTAGCTTCATTTAATTTTTCAGGCTTTATTACTTGAACCAAATTAAGCTAAGTGAATTACATGAGCTCAGCCCCTGTTTCTTTTCCCCCTTCTTCCTATTCCGCAATAATTCCTGGCCAAATAAATTTGGAAAATTTCTGAAGCATTAGGATTTCACCCATTCTCCCAACTTTCAAAATCTCCAATAAACCCATGTTCTAATCAATCCACATATTCTTTGCAGGTGAGTTGCCACTGGGCTACAGCTTAGACAAGTACTCAGAGATGCAATTTGCAACGATCAGTGTCTCTATAAAGAGGCTACGCGAATTACTTCAATGAATTTTGCCATCCTGATAGTCCCACATGCTTACCTGAAAATCTCTGATATATGTTAAGAAGAAGAACACAAAGCTGAAGGCTACTGTCCATTCGCAGATTGCACTTACAAAGTGGTACACATAATCCTAATGGAAGGAATATATACGTAAAAAACCATTAAATAGAGCCATTAAATTGGTTGCAATGGCAAACAAAGGGTGAGTCAAGCATAGAGATAGCAAATAACTATATACCAGATGCACAGTGTGGTGGGAAAGTACTTATTGATTTAGAATGGCATCCAGGCACGAGTCTCTTTGATACAACAGAAGCCTCATCAGTAGGAAAAGGATGTAATTGTCAGTAATTGACCTCCTCCTGCATTCTCCATGTTGTTCTGGAGGATTGTCCCTCAAGGATTTGGGAAGAGGAGAAAACTTCAAAGCCTGCCTTTTTCTCTATTTCACTGACAGAAGCCTCTGCTACCTCAAGCCCTGTTGTCATCAAGTGAAGACAATCTTATTGATTTGCTGAATTTCAGTACACTTAGCCGTTTTATTTTTCCTACATGGCTTATTACCAATGAAAACGTAATATTAAAATATAAAATACTCTACATCTGGATCATTTTTCATTACTAAGTTTCTACAAGCACCCATACAAGATATGACAAATATTGGAGCGCTGGTGGCACAGTGGTTAGAATGCAGTATTGCAGGCTAACTCTGCTCACAGTCTGCTGTTCGATCCTGACCGGCTCAAGGTTGATTCAGCTTTTCATCCTTCCGAAGTCGGTAAAATGAGACCCAGATTGTTGGGGGCAATATACTGACTCTGTAAACTGCTCAGAGAGTGCTGTAAAGCACTATGGAGTATTACATAAGTCTAAGTCAGGGGTAGGCAACCTTGGCTCTTTTATGACTCATGGACTTCAACTCCCAGAGGAGTTGAAGTCCACGAGTCATAAAAGAGCCAAGGTTGCCTACCCCTGGTCTAAGTGCTATTGCTATTTTCTTGAGAATCATTGCTCTTAGTCATTTTGAGTTATGATTATTATTTGAATTATTTCAGTTATTTTTTTTAAAAAAAACCTGAAATCTAAGTTCTTGACTTCATGACAATATTTTCTATAACAAGATTTTTAAGGCAGGAAAAAACAAGCTTGAAAACCTGTGCTATTTTCCTAAGAGCTAGATAAGCACCTTCTTTGGATCATCTGCTAGGATGAAACAAATAACAATGAACTGGTCAAAAAGGCAGAGGGCCCCAACAAGGGATTCCAGCTGAGAGTTTCATGGGGATTTATAAGTTGATATAAGGTTTGTTTTGTACATTGTAATAGAAGAAGGAAAGGTACCTACAAAATACTCAGCATTTCTCTTTCTTGTCAGAGAGAAACACTTTTGTTCCTGGGACACAAAATCTAATCAGTATGCCCATTTTAACAACACTCATTGTTATCAACAGGATATTTACAGAACATCCTTAAAAATCCGTGCTTCATGGCCAAATCTTTCACCCACTCTGCAGTTCTAAATAACAAACGGAATATGGTAGTTAAGATATGATCTGGCTAAAATTGATTAGTGCTCCTGATAGAAGAAATGATATGATCAAATGAAACAGATAGGGTTTTTGCAGTCAATATATATCATTAGTCATAATCAAAATTGAAAATAATAATATCATCATCATCATCATCATCATCATCATCAAGCACCATAAAACATATCCCTGGTCTTTGGGAAAGGACTCGATAGGGGGATATAAATATCAAATCCAATCTGATTGTGCAACAAACCATAACTAGTAATATAGAATAGTTCAATACTATCTTCTTGGTTGACTTTCTATTGTATTTGAAACATTTACCTACCAGATGCAATCCTTACCCATTATTTTATGAAAAATAACACAAAAATGCTCCCTTTTGTGGTCTATCATGTGCACAGAAATAGTAGTAGAGAATCAACACTTTTCAAAGAGTAGCTATAGTCTGCTTGCCACAAAAATAATGAAGAATCTTTATAGTACCAAAACCAGATTTATTGTGGCATAAGCTCTTTATTCCTGCATCAGGTGCTTTAAGAGTTATCCTCAGTTGATCTATCTTAGCATATAGCACTAATCAGCAGTCACTATTATATTTTATTCTCCTCCAAAATATGTAAGGAAGGATCATCAACATCATTAATTATTCAATTTCCTTCTTCAACTCCAGGCGTAATCTGCAAACCCAGTCATTTGTTGACTCCTGGAGATTGCCTAAACAAGTCTCTGCAGTTTTCTCGTTGGCAAGTTTTAGAAAGTGGTTTGCCACTGCCTGCTTTCTAGGGCTGAGAAGGAGTGATTGGCTCAGGGTCACCAAGTTAGCTTTATGCTTAAGGTGGGATTAGAACTCACAGTCTCCCACTCCCTGGCCTCATGCCTTTAACCACTGCACCAAACTGGACCTATACGTTTATATGGCTGCTCAAGTGTCAGTGGCTCTGGGCAACTGAAAAATAAATAGAACAAACACAACTACTACTAAAAACAAATTAAAAAAAACATTAATACAAACAATACTATTATTAGTTGCTGAGATATTATACAACTGTAAAAGAATATTTCACTTTTTACCAATCTGAGGGAAAATTCGAGGAAGAATAATCCCAAATCATCTGTCAGACCAGATTATATTATTTTAAGGGTGCACGTTTGTGTGTGCATGGATATAGCTTCAGAGCAAAAAGTCAGTAATTCTTTCTTAAAAAGAGAGAGAATTTCTATCAATATAGGTTGCATGAGGCATACCTGGTCAGAGCTCAGATTTGCGAGTAGTTCTGGCAAAGAGTCCTTTTGTTCTGAATATTAGACTGACAACCTTCCATTCCTGGCCTTTTGGCGAGAGGCAAATAGCCATGGATTATTCTGAAAGGAGAATTTACACAAACCTCAATTCTCCAAGTGCAAGTCTTTATACATTTGTTTTGTTTGAACTTTTACAAAAAAAATATAATAATTTCACAGTTCTCAAATCTATATGTGAACCAGAATGCACTTGCACATTGAAAACTGCACTTCTCAGAACTTAACAATGTAGTTCTTGGTTTTGTAAAAAAAACAACACTACAGTTTTTAAAATGTGTCTACCAAAGAAATATGTGTACAAAAAAAAAAGGATAATACCTCATCTATATCTTAATATAGATAGAATATCTAGATTTTTATGTGATTTTTTTTAAAAACCAAATTTGAAAGATGAGAATTGAGCAAAACAAATTTGCAGCCAGAAAAAAAACCTGAATAAGAGTTAAGACTTAATAGTTTTATTCATCTATAAATGTATTTTTAATTTATGAATTTATTGAAGCTAAGCATAGATTATGATTCCTGGTATTATTACTCCTGCTGATTTCTTATTTTCCATAATATTTCTAAAGAAGACCTTGCTTCCTAAAATGCTTTTACGGTTCCAAACTTCCCTGTATCTTTTAGTCTCTAGCTACAATTCTTAATTTTCTCACAATTTTCTCATAACAAAATCCATGAGATAGGAGTAATGTCCTCCAATTTATTAGCAAGTCTAGAACTCTGACCAATTATATCTCAGGTAACCTTGATTTACAGAAAGTTAAACATCACTAAAAATCAAAAAGCACCGAGTTTGAAAGCCTACATATATCTATCCAGGCAAACCTTAAAATTTAAAATATAGATGTCACAACCTATTAAATAGCATTAGCAACATGCAAACACAGCAGCTCTGGTTATCTGTTTCCTTAAATATCTTAGTAAAATTAACTAATACATAAAGTTAAGCTGCAGTGAATGGGTAGAAATATTGATTTTTTTACCTAGTATATGTTTACCTTTTCACCTGGATTCCAATCTATTTTTGTTATGGATATTAATGAAGCACATGCAATCACTGAGAAAAAGGAGTTAAGAGGAAACAACTGATTTAAAAAATAAAACATATAAAACTACATTTTCCTGTTGCCAATATACAGTACATAATCTATGAAATAATGAAAGGAATATATCATTAATCAAATGGGGGAACAGAAATAGTAATAATGGCAGATGTACATGAAGGCAAAACTGATGTCTGATAATAATAGAATTATAAACTTTTTATTTGTGATTGTATACAATAACTATTGCGCGCAGACATGTTAGCAAGCCCACTCAATGTGAAGAAGCAATGAATGTAAAGTTTCCTTAGATTCTGAAATCTCTTGGTTTGGGTATACATTCCTAATTTCAGTATCAAGAATGAGTACTTTAATTTTTAAGATAAAGTTCATCTTTATCTTTTTGTTTTTGCAGAAGAACCAGGCCAATGCAATGTAATGCAAGGCTCAGTTTTCTTGCAGAGACTCCACTTCATAGAAACCTTGTACTATTCTCCTAGCAAGTAGTACTTATCCCTATAGGAGGTTCTGTTTTTTTTAAAGAGGCTCCCTAGTTTGTGAAGCCTTCTGGAAAAAAAGAAGGCCCCTACAACGTCATGATAAGTACCACTTGCAGCTAGGAAAATAGCACAAGGGCTTGGCAGCCTCTGCAAGAAATCTAAGTTGAGCCTTGCATCGCATTGCATTGGCCAGACACTTCTGCAAAAAATGAAGTTAATTTGGTGCTGCTGGGCCCTAAAGCTGGGTGGGGAGCAGGTCTCTTGGGTAGCTGGATGGGAGACAGGCCTTGATTCACAAGCTGTAAGTGTCCTCTGTGTGCCAGCTTTAGGCTCCCTTGCTTGGTTGAATGCAGTTTAGGAGCAGGCTGAGGCCTGGGGAACTCCGAGGAACAGGAAGCAGAGCACTGGAGACAGGTCTGGGCCTGCACTAGGTCTCAAGGGCCTCCCCCATCCCTGAGGCACCCAGTACTCCACTAAATTACCCACATGTTCGTTTAACAATTGCACTGGGGATGTCTGGGTTTAGGTGAGACGGTTCATTTAATACCATTGCAACATGTGACCATAATGGGGAGGCTCCATGACAGTTGTATCTCAAGGACTGTCTGTATATCATGAAAATGGTTTCAACATAGCTGGTGCATACTATATATCTAGGTATCGTCTTATGTCTGGTGCGTCTCTCCCAAGGTCTCATTGTTTTATAAGCATGGCTTATATCTCAAAATTTGCATATTATGAACTGTATAATTTTATCCTTTTCAGGAAATACTGCAAAACTGAATATAGAAATAGTAAGCTGACTTAAAACTGTGGTGCTTGTGTTATTAAGAACTTTGACATATTAATATTCTGTAAAAAAAAAGGATACTGGGAATGACAGCTACCCAAGCCATTACGGAGAGGAATAATCTTGTGTGACATACACATGGAGTGCTCCATTGTGGACGTGACTTGTAAGAGATAATTGTCTGAAGAAGAATGTAGAGAGCACCAGAGACAAAAGCCAAAAGAGCTCCCCCATCATGGACAGAAGGAACTGCTAACTCCTGAAAAGACAATTGAAAAGTGTTGTATATTATTAGAGTTGCAATCAATATACAGAAAAGACTATAATCAGGAAGCAAATAAGTGTAGCCAGACTACAGTAGCAGTGTTAGGAAGGCATTTTGGTTATTACAAGCAACCTAATAGTACAGTAGTCCTCGACTTACAACAACAATAAACAACCAGAATTGGTGGTGGTAAGTTGAACTGGACCCTATTTTATGACAATTTTATAGATGTTGTTAAGTGAATCATGTAGTTGTTAAGTGAATACCGGGGTCATTGGACAAATACCGATTCCCCAATGGGCAATTTATACTGAAAATCAGCAAAAAAGGGTCACAAATCACAATTAGTGACCACAGGACACTGCTATCAGTGTCACAAATATGAGCCAGTTGCCAACCATTCCAATGCAAACATGTGACTGTGAAGGTGAAGCACAGTTATAAATGCAAGTACAGATCATAAGCCATGATAATTACAACCAGTCTACAAAGTTACGGCTGTTGTAGAGCCTTGCAGATATGTGATCAAAATCCAGGTCCTTGGCAACCCACTTGCATTTACAAGCACATGGTGAGTTTCAACTTCCCCCTACCCACCTGTCTCCCCCACATCTCTGCCCTTTTGGCTTCCCCCCCCCCGCCATGTTTTGCTGACCTACACTATCTTCCCCTACTTTGAGGACTGCCTGGCCAAGGCAGCTGCTGGCCCTTCAGAGCCATTGTGGAGGCCTCACGAAAGCCAACTGCTGCCTTGACCAGGCACTCCTTAGCAGCAGTGGACAATGATGTTGGTCAGCTGGGGATGGCAAGGGTGACAGATTATCAGGCAGCCAAAAGGGCAGAAATAGATGTAGATAGATGAGGGGGGGGAATTGAAGCAGAGGCAAGTAGGGCAGGGCACTGGAGCCTCATCTGCTGAAGAGAGCTCCCTGAGACCAGCTGGGAAGAAGGCAGCTCACACAAGGCAGGAGATGTGTGAGGCCATTCCCTAATGACAGTGCAGATCTTGTCCAACAACCATAACCAGGACTTCCAGAACAATTGTCGGTATGCACTGCAGTCATGTGGTACTTCACCTAACAACTGCTGCACTTAGCAATGGATACCAATCAGGGTTATTAAAGAGTGATGACTACCTGTATGGTAATTTATGAAGAAGACAGATTTTCTACTAGATACCACTGACTTTTCAAAAAACAAAACAAAAAACCACCTTGATTACTAGGGCCTGGCTAGGGAAATTGGAGGACACACAGAGAAAGATCTTATTCAGTTTATATAATGTTAACTGTAAATACAACACTGGCTATCATTTTATGCACAGATGTTTCCTTTAATCTTGATTTTATTTATTGAAAACTCATTTTTATGTCATATTTTGTGAATGATTTCATAACACAGTTTAGTTTGCGGTTGAATTCAGTTCAACAAAAACTTCAAGTTTATAATATCATTCCCGTCCTACTTAAATGTCAACTCAATCCAAATGTATCTTGCCTTCTTCATGACCCATATTAAATGGGCCTCATGAGTCTATAAATAACATATTTGTACTCTTGAAATGAATAAGTCAGAATTTACAATTATATCACTCCATGGATGTAGTTCATTACTGCTATCTCAAATTTGCTTAGATTCTAAGCCATAAAATCATACACTGATTTGATTTACCATTCACCGAGCTACATCAAACAGTCTGCAAATGCTGATATTATGTAATCTTTCCTGTTTTATACTCCCCTTGCTTAGTCTTAAATCTGTTTCAGAAAGTCCCTCAACTATCTCAAACAGATTTGGAAAATTAGCAAGCAACTATCTGGGAAACGATCACTTCTTCTCACAAGAAATATACCAAGTACTGTATATCAAGTATCCATTGGATATCAAAAATTCCATCTCATTCATATTATCTAATGATGGATCATAGGTTCAAAGTAACTTCTTTCATTTATTTCCACAGATCATCAGAAGACACCTTGTTTGAGAAGGACAACAATGTCTAGGACAAAAACTTTTATCGGTAACATGCATATCTGGAATTCTGTTTTGCATAAAATGCATATCTATTGTAGTTGTAATTAGGCATAAATAATTTCCTAATTATTTATGGCATTAAGCTAAGAGCAACCCAAACAAGGGATAAATGTATCTTGATATTTCATGATCTCAATGCTATCTTTGGAGGACATGGTTAGAAAGAAGTATCTACTGAGCATACTGTATAATCATTGCCTCTTGCAAACTGAACATCTGATTGCAATCAATTCTAGACTATAGGACAGCCTCAAGTTACCACCTACGTGACTACACTGCAGGAATTACTAGTCTGTTTTATTTGTACTGATACTTCTGATAGAAAATTTTAAGTTGATGCTTTCTCTGGAAAAGGGAATAACTATAGGTAATCCTTGGGTTATGACAACTGAGCCCAAAATTTCTGTTGCTAAGTGAGACAGTTGTTAAATGAATTTTTCTCCATTTTATGACTTTTCTTGCCACAGTTGTTAAGTGAATCACTGCAGTTGCTAAGTTAGAAACAGGATTGTTAAGTGAATCTGGCTTTCCCATTGACTTTGCTTGTGAGAAGATCACAAAAGATGATCAGATGATTCCAGCACCCTGCAACCATCATAAGTATGAACCAATTGCCAAGCATCCAAATTTTGATCACATAATCATGGGGATACTGCAATGGTCGTAAGTGTGAAAAACGGCCATAAGTCACTTTTTTCAGTGACGTAACTTTGAACAGTCACTAAATGAACTGTTGTAAGTTGTATATTGCTTTGATTTTCTCTTGATACATACTAAGTTATTTTAAAAGGCTGGTCTTATGAATATATTTAATGCTCATATAATATTCTTAATAATTTGTAAGCCATTGAAGGAGAAATGAGATATAAATTTAATAAATAAAATATAAACATATCTTTCTTACTTACCTGAAAACTTGCAACAATGCCCATTCCAACAGAACCCAGAATTCCAACGTACAATGTCAATAAGTTGAAACAAGGGGAAACAAAATGTGTCATATCATTTTGTTTCTTGACAATTAAATATTTTGTATACATTGTAACTACACCTAAAAAAAAAGGAGAAAAATATTTACAAATTGTCCTAAAGACAAATGATGCAATACAAAAGTGAGTCTGGTCTTGACAAAACAGAGAAAAGAATAATTTTACTTACATAATGAATATGCTATACAGAGTTCTTGAACTGTAATAGTCACGATAATGTGTTGGCATACCCCTCCCTGCCAAAATTATTTTGTAGTAATCCGTCCCATTCTAAACTGATCAAGAAGTAAAATTTGGGTCAGGGCTCTGTTGATTGTGCTAAATGCTGTGGATCACTAGAAATAACTCCTTTCCAGACAATGAGAGGACTTAAGATTGCCTAAAATGCTCTACACGGCTGCTTCTCCAAGTTAGTGGTCTCTGGTGGGTTTAGAGCTCTGGGAGATAAGGAAATAACCATTGTGGTCAAGCCGTGGTTGGCACCCTTGAAAAGACACTAAGGTCACATACCTCCCTCTTCTAATGACTTTCAGAAATTGCTTGTTAATTGCTTTTCAGTTATTACAGATCTTTGGATCAACATAGCGCTGAATTTCTTTCAATCCTTAGTGAAAGAAGTTTTAACTAAAAGTTTAAGAATTTTTTTTTACAAATGGGGAAATAGACAGTAAAAGAATGATTAAAACTTTTGATCTAGAAAATTACAAAGATTGAGACAAGTTTGAAATAAGATTTTGGAATTAATTATAAATAATGCTTCCAGTGTGGAAAATGCATTATTTTTTAAAAAAATTAAAAATCGGATAGCAGCGGGAACTAGAGATTATAATTAAAGGAGAACCCTTAAATTTGACTTACAGAATGAAGCAAAATATTTTAATATTGAATACACTAAAGGATCTTTTTAAAACAGATATGCTGTTATCTCTGATAACCATGAATGGTTGCTGACGTCAGATTGAAATGACTGGACTACATGGATTTGTTTATAGATAAAAGATAGGATATTTGAAAAAGAGATCATTTGTTGTATTTTAAGAAAAGGTGATCAGTTTAAAAAAATTCCTTATATCTGTTATGGTGAAGAGGGATGTCACTTCTTTATATATTTATTTTCTTTTTCTTTATTATTTTTTCTTTCTTTTCTATTTCCTTTTCTATTGTTTTTCTTTCTTTTTTGCACTTTTCCCTTTTCTTTTTAGTTCATATTAGTTTTTACCATTAGAATTATAATCTTTAATAAAATTATTATTTTTTAAAAAGAAATCTTATAAAATAAGATAATGAAGAAGCTTTCCTACCAGAAGGAAAAAGGGAAGACTCCTAAAGAGGACTGTATATATACAGGCAAAGATCTTTAAATATTGAAAAAAATTAAAGGGTTTGGAAGGAGAGCACATAACTAAAGAATACAAAAGTTTATTGAAAGGGATTGTCAGACACAAGAAACCAGGAGCTGGGATAGAGTTCAAAACACTGAAAGTTTATTCCATGCAACCTATACACAAGAATCTGAATAACTAATGGTCAATGCGAATTGGCACCAGATATGAGTCAACAGACTTTGGGGGGGTTGGACTTAGGTCTCTTTTGAGGGCACAGGGATCCAGACTGATGATCCCACCCCTCAGGCTCAGTCTGGTCATCTCCTACAGAAATGACAAAATTGTGTCAGAAAGGCTAAAACTCAGAATGAGCTGTTGCTGGCAAGATATACCAAAACCACAAACAAAGGGGGGATATTTATGTAATTGAAAACATACAAAAAAGGCAAAGGAGTTGTAAATCTATTTTAAGAAAAAACGGTATACTGATAATGGGAAATGGGGAAGAGAAGGAATTTATAAATTCCTCCTCTGTGTTTATCTTTTGTTAGAAATTAAATGGAGCCATAGTTAGTCATATTATGTGGAGAGAAGCAGCAGCAGCTTAGGGCTGATAAGAAGATGAAAACCTAGCAGCTAATTTAAATGAATTCAACTCTCCACGGCTAGATGGATTACATATTAGGATACTAAAGAAATTAGTAAAGATGTTCACTGAACTACTCTTTGGAGATCCCAAAAGACTGGAGAACAGCAAATGTCATACCCATCTTTAAAAGGGGAAGGGGAACTAGGACTGGTCAGCTTGATGACAAGAATGGGCAAGGTCTTTGACAGATCATCAAGCATCATACTTGTGAACACCTTGGATAGACATGCTATAATCAACAGGAGCCAGTATGGGCTTGTCACAAACTAATCATTATCATTTTTTCACTAATTGATTGGGGGAATACTTAGCAGTAGTTGACAAAAAAATTGTCATTAAATTATCCTTCTTAATTACAGTAAAATATTGGTGATACTATCAGATATATTCATAACTCACAAATGAAGGCAAAAATAAGTGTCCCAGGATAATAATAATCTGGGTTGATGTGACACACACCCACTCTGCCCGAGAGAAGTTTCCCCCAGGATGGGCTCCAGCATAAGTCCAAAAAGCTTGGAAGACAAAACCTCTGGTTCCGGTGACTGACCCAGATTGGATCTTGCATATAAATAACTAACTGCCTGAATGACTTCATCCCAAAAAAGTTTCAATGTTCCAGCTTGGTGAAAAATATCAAATGAAGCACCATAGGCTCTATCCTGGGATGCATGTTACTCAATAGTTTTATCAGTGACTTGAATGAGGGAGTTGAGGAAATACTTATGAAGTTTGCAAATTACACAAAGCTGGGTGAAATGGGAGGAGAGAGGATTTTAAAAGTTTTACACAGGCTTCAACAAAGAGCTGAAATGAACAGAACAGAATTTAACTATGAAAAATATAAAGTTACGCATTTCAGTAGAAAAAATTAAAGGCACAAATATCAGATAGGGGAGACTAAACTTGGTGGTATGTATATGAAAAGGACCTGAGAATTCTTATGAACTTCAAACTAGCAACTTAATGTAGCTGCTAAAAACAACTATACTAACTATACAACTATACTGACAGGAGTATAGCATCCACCACCACAAGATGTAATTGTTCTTGTCTATTCTGTTCTGAACAGAGTTTGAAATATAGTTTTGGTCACAATAGTTCAGAAACAGCAGTGACAAACTGGAACAAGTTCAGAAGAGGGATATCAAGATGGTGATAGAAGCTATGTCCTATAAGAAATAATGGATATTATTTAACATACAGAACAGAAAACTGAAAGGAAATAGGATAGCAGTCTCCAGGTATCTGAACAGTTGTCACATACAGAAGAGAATGGATTAATTCTCCACTGTCCCAGAACACAGAACCAGAACCAATGGTTAAAACTACAAAGTGTGGTCAGGCTAGATATCAGAAAGAACTTCTGACTGTACAAGTGACCACCTTGTGAAGTCTACTATATCATGATTTTCCTTTGCTGAAAGTCTTCAATCAGAGGTTGGATATTCGTTTATTGAAGATGATTTACTCAAATCTTGCACTGGCAGAGGATTGGTCTGAACAATCTCTAACATCCCTTCCAACTATGTAATTCTAAAAGATCTACTTACACAACTAGAACTTTTATTCTGTTGACAAAAGCAGTAGATAACGGTAGTGGTCAACTCTTTGCACCATTACTTTAATTTTATTACGTTTTACAAGCTCACTAAATGAAAGAACACAAAAAACCCCAACCAACTTGATAGCGATCACATAACACACTGACAAATGTTCTCCTCTCAGCTTCAATACATGACATCAACAACTGAATCCTACTGTGATCTGATTGGCTCATTGCCAAAACAAGATGACACCTGATTGGCTCTCTAAACACTCATGCTCATTGGCTCATCAGATGAAGGAAAGCTACCTGATATCAACCTAAGCAAGTTGTGCTTCCTTTTTCTGGTTATTTGGCTATAACCTTTCGTAGAATACAGTACAGATAATTGAACAAACTTTGTTGCATTACATTCTTGATTAAATTATCTTTCCATTGATATATAATTTTATGGTACTACTCCACAAAAAAAAGTGGTGTTATTAGCCATCAAACCTCAAAAATACACTTTTCCCAAAAGGTTTCCACAATTTTGGCCACTACTGTAACATGAAACAGCAAAATAGTAACCGTACAATAATGAAAGCAACCTCCCTATCAGGTAATCAGCAGAATTGAGGCTAAAAAATGATGCTTCTTTATTATAGATCTCTTGTGATATAGTTTACCACTACAGATTAGATTGCTACTGTTACAGATTAGATTGCTCCAATTCAGCCTTTCAGAAGCAAGTCAAAATTGAGTTTTTCCATTTTAATTTATCTAATTTAGAAAGTAATGCTAAACTGTTTATGTGCTCCCATTTTAAAATATTCAATTTTGTTATGACTGAGTTAGTTTTGCTTTATTGGATGTTTTTCTTCATAAACCAGTAAGAGTCACATGACTATAAAAACAAAACAATGATTTAAAAACAAATGTCATCTAGTTTCAGACAGCAAAACATGGATCAAGGACAAGAGGCAGCAGAGACACAGCCTGAGTACGAAGAAGGAAATATACTGCAGTGGAAAAAGCAATCCTTTACTATCTTCCTCATAAAACAATCAGGCCTTTAAAGTAAGAACCAGACTTAGAGCACAGTCCAAAAACAAATGGGCTAAAATAACAAATGAAGATGATACAGAACTGTAGTGATATATATTCTAACCAGACTTGGTGTCGCTTATTTAAAACCAATCACGTGCTTTTCTAAGACATGACACATAGGAAGTATTAAAATAGTTTATATGTAAATACTACACAAATGCAAATATCACACAAATACTCCTAACAAACTCTTTCTTCTTCTTGTATTCAATCTAGAATGTTTCAAGGTCCATCTATGAAATTCAATAGCCCACCTTCCATGGTAGAAATCCAAAAGAAACTGTTTCTCTGCGCACATCATCATAAATTTAAATAGTATTTTACAGAGTAACATCAAAAGTAAACGAGACTGTATCCAGAGAATATAGTCCCTGCTACAGATCAAGCAACATAATTCAGCAGGCAGAAGCAACATGAGCTGTTTGCTTAAGCTGATATTAGACTATAACCTAACTAATCCGATGAATATTACAACCAGAAGTATGCTCATTATAAATTATTTGATAATTGTATTTGCACAATGCGCATGTTTTCAAAGCTGCTGTCATATTTAATTTATTGCACACACCTTAAAAAAACCAAAATGCTACTTTAAAAACATGTATGAAATTGTTTAACAGTGAACAATCCTAGATATACCTTATAGGACAGAGTAAATATTCCACTTTGTACATTTAAATAGGGCATGGATGCCTGTGATTAATCAAATGGTTAGTTAAGATATACAGCCATGATCCACAATCAAGATTTATTAGATGATTAGATGATTTGTATATTTATATACAACAGAAAAGAATCCATATAAAAGTCAGATCTTCATGCAGACTCCATATGTTCCATTCGCAAGGGTGTTTTCCAGCTGAGGCATTTACTTCACCCTTTCTCATGCACATAACTGTATGGATGATACAGATGTTGCTTCCATTTGCAACCCTCCTGTACTAAGGAAGAAAGATGGACTAAGCTATACAGCATCTTTGACAAAGTATTTCAAATGAAACACTTCGAATGAAAGCACTCCAACTTCTATGCAGTTATGAAGATGTGATTTTGTTATCATCATGACTTATCTATTTTTTATACATCTTCCTAAGATGTTTTATACATCTTCCTAAGCCTGAAAGTACACAGCTGTTTGAACTCATTTCTATAAAAGTTCTTGTTTTTAACCTACCACACCTGCTCTCTGCTTCTTCTTCTTGAGTTACTATGATTATGGATTACAGAAAGCTTACTTTACTCCAGGTCAATATACTGTATGACATTTGTAAAGTATTATGTATAAATGAATTATTTTAACTATAAATCCAGATGCTTGTGCCACATCCATCTGGAGACAGGATTGTTAGAAATATTTAATTGTTACAACTCTTAAAGATAATTTAACAAATAAGTACAAATACCTACATACCTAAGAATGCAGAAACATTAATCATAAATCCAAAGATACCGCTTTCTGGAGGTTTTGCTCCTGTATCACTAGCATAAATGATAAAAATGACAACAGTTAATATAGAAATAATACATGTAAATAAAATATTTCTCAAATCAAAGTTGACTCCTGGAAACTATATACTCCTATATACATCTAATTAAATTGATAATGATATAACTCAGAGAAAGGCATACTTTCTATGATCATTTGTGAGAGATGTTCCAAAAAAACAAGTGCTTAATAACCTGGTCGCTTGAATTCAGAACAATACTCCATTCATCATCTGACATGCAGGCCTAAGAGTGCAGTTTGATTCTATGCATACATACTTGGATGGATATTTATCAATTGATCTAACTTCCTAGAAAGGCTGTTCTAGTACACATTTAGGCATGGCTTATTTTTCATTTGAAATGTTGAAGTACATTAATATAATTATCATTTTAAGTATTAAAAAATGACAAAAATAATTCCTGTTCTTTTTTCAAAATGGGTGGATCATTAGAAATGATAACCCAATAGGTTCCAATCCTCAGATATGAATGAGATGATTGAAATGGATGGACTAGCAATATTTTATTTTATTTTATTTCATTCATTCATTCAATTTCTTTAGCCACCCCACTCAACCAAACAACTCTGGGCAGCTTACAATATACTGTTGGGCACAGCTAATGGTCCAAGAGATGGCTAAATCTATGATTTGACAGTTTTAATTTAGTGGCTTTAATTCCATCTTCTACATTTCTGAGCTAACAAGTGAGGATACCAAATTAGCATGTCAAATAGCCACTTGGCACTTGGTTTACAGTTCTCAATCTATGTATGACACTACATATTCAGTCCCAAGAACGTGAAGCCAACCCCAGAAAATATGTTCATTTCATTTTTTCATTTCTACTGTGATTCTCATAGCATTTAATTCCATTTGTTAGAAATTAGACTTACCATGAACATATATCTAATGTTAAAAATCTATTATATCTACTAATGGTTTTGTAAAAACCAAAAGATATCTTCACCCTGTGTTGTTTTCCAAATCTAATAATATACATGCCAATACTTCTGTCATTCTGTCCATCCCTTCCAAAACAAGGCATAGCTAATTCATTTAGTGTGGACCACACTCTGTGACTGCTCTGAAGTAAAATACACCCAATTTTTCCATCACATGTAATTTGATCTCAAACAGAAATATAGAAAACCTGCCTCTGCCAACCATCAGCTGAATCTCTCAATATTTATGGCAATGAAATATTAATTTTGTTCGTGTAACATTCAAAAATACTCTTACTTTGTTGATTAACTCACTATTTAGTTAGAAACAAGCTTTGAGAACCAAAGCTCCAAGTGAAACACTCGACAAATTTGAAGTACTTTTGTAACTAAAGACTGATACCACCTAAAAACTATACTGAACTGTGATCACTTCAAAACCTTTAAGAGCTCTATGTCAGATGAGAATGGAATCTGCTGCACCTGTGATCAAAGTACAACTGGATTTTTTCCTGAAACACTCAATGTTGTAAGGGCATTGCAAATAATTAAAATTGTTCAATGTCATTCATTTGCGTTGGATTTAAAAGAAACGTTAATAAATGTTATTAAAAGTTAAATATTATTAAATACATGTTATTAACTTCAGTGCTGATTGTTAAAAATGAAAATCAGTCACACAAAAAAATTGTACTGTTATTCTTGCACTTTTTTATTATAACATAGCCAACAAACACATCACTGGTCTCAATCTTGGCTCTGGCACATGCAGAATCTGTCTTTAGTTGATGTGATTTTAAGATGGAGAACATTGGCACCTGTCTTTGCCATGGTCAGATCAATATCTATGAATGGGATCACTAAGAGTTAACATTAGTCATTAAAAAGAGACAATCAATGAGTTTAAAAAAGGGAGAAAAGGGAGAACAAACACCATTTCCTGCTAGCACTGAGGATGTTACCTAATTTGGGTTAATGAAATGTCTGCAAGAAAACAACCAAGCTGAGACAGCACCAAGGCCCCCTCATCTCAACCCTGAGCTACAAATATTCTCTTGTATTGGAAACATAGTTCTTAATCACTTTGCACCGAGATTTCCAAAGATTTCAAAATATAATAGATATGCAAATTCTTAGAAAATGGAATTTGTTGCAACTATATGTAGAAATAAAAGGTTTGTGTTTTGTTTTTTCTTTAAACGTATTACTGTCAGTAGAATAGGAGCAACTGACCACTGAAATCATGTGGAAATATTTTTTTTCCCTTCTGCTAAAAGTCTGCATTTTGATAGGTTTCAATTCCTTAGCAAAAACAGCCATTGCATAAAGCAAAACACTCCCCTATCCACCCACCCACAGATGCTGCTTAATGTCTTTAGTTGGGAAAAACTCAGGATTGTTTTTACAGTGTAAACAGCCGTTGTCACTATGATGAACAGAGGGAAAGAACAAGACTTGAGTATACTAGATGGAAGCAAAGAGCTGGTTTTCTGCATTGTTTTATTATAATGTAGTGACGCTCCAGAAGGCAGTCCAGATATGATATTCCTGGAAATATAGGAGTCCCAGGATAATGTTGCAGAATCCAATCTGAGTTGGTCACGGGACCAGAGATTGGAGCCCATACTCAGGGAACTTCTCAATCTGCTGGATGTGTGCACTGTTCACTCAGGGACCCATTTCCCAGGCGTCAATCAGGAGTAATGATTTACCACCAGCTTACCAGGTACTTAAGAGCGGAGGGCATAGCAGCACAAGGAAACAACAATCAAAGACTTAATACCCCATCAATACCCCCATCAACAACTAAAAGCCATAGGCACCATACATACAACCCATAGAACAGCCCAGTGCACATATCCAGGAGATTGAGAAGTTCCCTGAGGATTGGCTCCAGCACAAGTCCAAAAGCTTGGAAGAACAAACCTCTGGTCCAGTGACCACCTCAGATTGGATTCTGCCTGATACATCTGATGTAATAAAAGATAGTATATCTCAGTGTATCTCTGTTAAATTAGGTTATCTTTCTACAGGTAGTTCTCAACTTACAACCAAAATTGAGCCCAAAATCTATGCTGTTAAGTGAGAAATTTGTTAAGTGAGTTTTGCTCCATTTTACAACTTTTCCTGCTACATTTGTTAAGTGAATCACTACAGTTGATAAATTAGTAACACAACTGTTAAGTGAATGTTTTCCTCATTGACTTTGCTTGTCAGAAGGTTGCAAAAGATGATCACATGTCCCCAGAACACTGCAACTGTCATAAATGTGAGTCAGTTGTCAAGCATCCGAATGTAAATCGCATGACCATGGGGCTGCTGCAATGGTTATAAATGTGGAAAAAGGTCATAAGTCACTTTTTTCAGTTCTGTTGTAACCTTGAATGACTTATAAACTGTTATAAGTCAAGGACTATCTGTACTTATTTGATAACACTAATTAAATGCAGATTAAATGTTATTTCAATTATACTTAGTAGAGAGAATCAACTGCACTGAAATCACTTTGGCTTACTTTTAGAATGTATGTTTAGCATTGAATCTTTGAACTTTAGAATGAAAGGCCTCTCAACTCCAATATATACAGAGAGAATGAAATCATTAAATAAGCGGTATCAGTCTGGATTGCAATTGGAATGTGTTCCCAGATTCAAAGCAAAAAAAAAAAGGGGGGGGAAATGCAAGAATTAATCCTGCTTCCCCAGCCTGATGTTGTTCAGATATATTGGGGCTATAACTATCAGAATTTCAATTTCAGTTGTTAGGGATTATCCTGAGATATAATCAGATCTTAATTAGCACTTCCCAAAGGATTTTCACCCAGCCCTATCATTATATCTGTTTCTAGCCCAAAATAATGTTTTAAAGAAATTATGTAAAGGGACTTGGTACTGTATCTGACTATCTGTAGGATAACTCTCAGAAAACGGAACAGACTAATTTTCATATGTTGGGAAAAGCTGGTAAAGAAAAAATTGGTGTAAAAATGGGCCAGATCTAGATGGGGGCTGCATAGAAGGGGAAAAAAAAAACTTCCATTGCATTCCTACTGGAGACAGAGTTGACCAGCAGCTCACAACAAAAGGACTATTCCATTCTAAACCCTGCTCCTTCTCAGTCACAAGACCCAGAGTTAATTGTTTTAAAAGCATTTGGAAAGAATTCCTGAAGCCACGCTTTGCATGTTGTTCTTATTTCATTAAGGTTCCTAGTTTTTACACACTGTATGAGTTACCAGGTAATTTTTTAAAATTTCATTTGCAGAAGTTTCTGGAAAGGGGACCCACATAACAACACCTGCTCCAATTCTCCTTGGTTTTTGTTTGTTTGTTTGTTTGTTTGCTTGTTTTTGGAGAAAAAAACAGTGGAGATCAAAAAAGCAGCATCCTGCCTTTGGCTCTGTGGGGATAAGGGAAGTATCCACCACCTCCCCAGAACCTTATCACCTGTTTAGCTCAGATTACAGAACCAGGGAATAAAATGACCTGACTGCCCTTAAGGTGAAGTGCAGGAAGGCAGAGATCCAGATATTCAAGTTGTGGAGAGCCAGAACGTCATGGAGAGGCCTGGGAAGTCTTCAGCCGGGCCACTTTTCCCAAAGCAGGAGAGGTTGACTCACCACACTTCTGCCCCATTTGGGGCAACCATCAGCTACGAAGTGCTCGACCAAGAGAAGGGAAAAATTTTTACTTCCCTATTTGATTTTGATGGATTTAAACACTGGCTACAGTTTCTGCCCTGCGTTCCCCACCTAGCAAGGGCGCAGAGGCCAACAGGGGGCGCCCTTCTCCCTCCCCATCTCACCTGATATACGGGAAGAGCGGCTCCACATGGCCGCTAAGCACGGCGATCGCGTAGGAGAGGATGAAGGCAGCCGACGACCAGGAGACCAGGAACGTGGGAATGAAGGCCGCGCCTTGCGCGAAGCAGGGCATCCTGCGCCACCAGCGAACACGCCGCGGGATTAGCGGCTGCCTTTCCCCGCCACCAGGCCTGGAGGCAGAGAGGCCCCGCCAGCTCATAGGGGTTACTAAGATCCGCCAAGTGGCTGAAGTCATAAAAGCGGCTGAAGTCACAAAACTTTAACTCGGGAGCGGGGCAGGAGGAGGAGCGGGGGGGGGGGCAGGACGAAGCCGCCCCGAGGCGTCCCTTCGAGAAGAGGAAGAGAAACCGCTCCCTCCGGGGGCGCTTCCTCCCAGAGGGCGGCCCGGGCTGCGGAGGTCTCTTCCCCCGTGGGCGGCCTGCCTCCGGACCCCCGCCCAGCCACGCGCTCTTCCCTTCCCGCTCAGGCTGCTCGCACGAAGTCCTCGTGGCGGGTCAGGCAGCCGCCCCCGCCCCGTCCTGTCGTTCTGCTCCGACCTTCCTCGCTCGCCCCCCCCCCCCGCCAGAAGTTTCCCTAACTACGAGTCGGGAAAACCCGTCGGGATGAAGACGGGCTTTCCCGCCTCACCAGCGGCGGGCGGTTGCTTTCTCTCTCCTCCGCGAAAATGAAGCTGGATTTTCCCGCTGGTACAAAAAGCTCCGGGCACGGCGGTTTGACCTGTCGGCACAACAAACCCACATCCCCTCGGGGCAGACTCAAAGCGGAACTCGGAGGAGCCGCCGTTGCCTCCCAACCAACTCAGCAAAACGGTTCCCCTTCGCTCCTAGCTGAGTTGGCTCTGAGACTTCTTAACATTGTGCAATGTTGCGAAGTAAACAGAGCATGGCTTCCTCCCCTCGCCCGGCCAAGAAACGGGATGCTTTTAGCTTTCGTTTCCTTGTCTACCACCCCACGCTGCCTCCTTTGTCCGCTGCGATTTATTTTGTGAAACGAGCTAAACCATAAGTCACTCCCCGTCAATTCTGATGCTCCTAGTTGAGAAAATTTGACCAGCCTTTAACTCAACTGGATAAACGGAATCCCGTATTCAATCACCAGTGGAAGTGGCCGAGACACTGGGTAGAACATGCTGAATCACAAACAACGAATCAGGGTTAACACCAACCAAGTGTAACCTGTGGTGTAAATGCAACTGGTAGATTTTCAGGAACTTGTTTAAGTTTGTTGTGGGGATACAGCCAATTTGCCTAAGGAGTAACTTTCTCTGGAGCAGTGTTTCTTAAAGTGCTATTCAGGAACCCCCATGGTCCCTCAAGAATCTCTCAGGGATCTGCAGAATCAAAATTATTTGCCAGCTTATGTTGAAAAGTAATACAGTATTAAAATCACATCAAACAGTCACGAGAAGCAACATTAAATGCACGGATTTTAGTGTGGTAAATATACTACCCATGCAAACAAAAACTTGCAATCCTTCATCATTTTTAAATGTCTTGAAACAAAAAAGTTTAAGAAACATCAATATTCTTGAGTAACTGAACAGTGATACTTAATCTGAGGACAAAGAGGATGTTAAGTGTTTTATTTTCAGGCCACTTCTTAACAAACAACTTATAACGTGCTCTGAATATGATTAAACTATAGTTTAAGTTGCAGCCTGCATGGACAATGGTGAAAAACGCTGAGAGCTGAGATTTATCAACATCTAAAAGTACATTGATACCCCACCCCAATAATTATACTTCCATAACAGTTCTCATGACTATTTGTTTTGTTTCTTTCAATTTTACATCAATTTCCAAAGGTATTGCTCAACATCAATATATATACTGCCTCAGTCTCAAATATTTCTTTAATTTCTTTCCAAGAGTTTATATTAATATTAAAATGAGTCATCTTATGTTTTTCCATCAGCTACCTAATTATGATCTATATGGATGGGGAATTTACCAGGATGATTGCAATTAGAGAAAACCATTTGTTCTCTTTATATGTGTTACATTACCGGCTGTCACAATTACGCTTACACAAAACAAACTTTGTTGGCATCAGTTGAGTTTATATATCATCAAAATTTGCATATTATCTAGCAATAAGCCAGTTACAAGGGCTCAGTGCTCAGATCATACTAGCCAAATTTGTTGGCTAGTTTGTGGGCACAAAGCTTAATTTTTCAAAGCCTAATTTATGGCTAGCAGACTAGGGTTCCAGAAATCTGGACAATCACTAGATAACAAAGATATACCAAAACTTATCTTTGCTGACATTCATTGAAGTTGAGGAGCCCTATTTAACTATCAACTCAAGAAGAAATTTTCAGGGGAGAAAACTATAAAGGGGAAGGGTTGAGCCTCTTCTCTCTATGCATACCAATCCGTCCCCAAATGCCCTGTCCCCATAACAATTAAATTTACTATTTAAAGTTTCCATTTCTGCCAAGCTTTTTTTTTTGTCTAAAATTAATTCCTATGCTAAAGGAACAAAATATCAAGTGAAGTTGCAGTGGGGGAAAAAAATCCTTCCCTTTCACTTATGGAGAGAAAACTATCAATAGTTCCAGTTGGTTTCCCTTCAGAAACATGCATACTTGCGCAAGATTGGGATAGATTTTCCTCCAGAGGGAGGGAGGGAGAGGGAGAGGGAGAGAGAACAGTGGGAAAGGACAGAAGTATAGAGCAGTGATGGCGAATCTTTTAGAGACCGAGTGCCCAAACTGCAACCCAAAACCCACTTATGTGTCATTGGGTGCCAGGTAGGCGTGGCCCATTGGGTGGGCGTGGCTGCAGTGGAAACGGCAGACTGGGTAGGACTAAAAAGTTCAGTCAATCAATTCCAACTTTACGAGATCTTTTTTTTCCCAGTGAGAAGTTGAAATTGACTGATTGAACCTTTTTTTTTTGCACACGGCAGTGGAGGCCTAAAGCGAAAAGGTTTTATAAAACCCAGCTGAAGGCCTAGGACTGGAGCAACGGTGCGCGTGCCCACAGAGAGGTCTCTGCGTGGCAAGCGTGCCATAGGTTCGCCACCACGGGTATAGAGGGTGCAATTGGAAAACAATGAAATGGTGTTATTTCTAAATGTTCAAATAGCCTGCATATTATTTACCATTTTATGTTTTTGATCCAGGAATTGTATTTACACATGGTTAGTCACTTCATCTTGAATCTCATTTTCTCTCTGTCCACCATATCCGCCTCTCTTTGGGTCTCCACAAATAATGTTGGTGTAGAATTTGCTGTCCACATTGTTAACACCAGTTCTGCTTCTACTGTAATTCCTTGATATACTAAAATGCTCAGTCTTTAAAGGCATACTGATTGATTTTTCTCATTGATTAATGTCATTAAGCCAGCTAGTGGGAAAACAACCATAAATCAGAAGCTTCAGCACAAACAGAATGGGTTATTACACAATTGTGGAAATTTTTGTTAGTTTCTATAAACTGATTGTTCCTTTTTCTACAGCATGTTTGGGCAGCCATTGATTTAAAATAATGTAAAAGGAAGTTCCCAATCACAAACACATGTCTTAATGTAAAGGGAAGTTCCCAATCACAAACACGTTTATCAAAAATGACATCTGTAGTTCACCAACATTCCGATATAAGGAAATTGGGATAGAGATACCAAGGCAAAAACTACCTCAGAGAAGACTGCATAGACCACATAATGATAGTATGCCTAACTACATGTTACAGAAGCAGATAACTGAAACCTGCTGCCAGCAAAAAGGTCAATCACTTTAGAAGGAAAGTGTTCAAATTGACAAATTAGTGAGACTGGCAAACAAAAATTAATTTATCATTGTTTTCTATATGGTGCAGTGAGGAATAATGGGGCTGATGCTGCTACTGTGATGACATTTTCAATGTGCCTATACCATTGCGCAGATAACTTTCCTCCAAATAATATGAATTCAGATATCTATGGAATTCTGCTTGCCTCTCTTTTATCAGATTGAAAAGCTGATTATCTAGTGTGATTGCTTTCCAAGATAGGGAGTAATAGCTGAAAATAAAATAGGAATTTTAAAAAAAATTATTAATAGAACAAGTACTAGGAGAAAAGTAACAATGACAGAGACTGTTCAGTACCAAAGGGAAAGAGGTAAATGCATGCTCAGATACACCTCTGATCACTCATCTGAGCTCACTTCCATAATAAAAGGCAAGCACTGTGATTTTTACTTCATGAAATTGGGGAAACTGTCAGATTAAGGTCCAAAACATTAGGGCTATGCCATAATGTGCCTTTTTTGGACTTTCCTGTTGTTCTACAACAGTGATAGTGAACATTTTAGAGACCGAGTGTTCAAACCCCCTTGCCCCCACCCGCTTCCACGGCCCGCCACAGCAGATCGCCCAGGCAGCCCTGCAGCACCATGGTGGCCACGCCCTCTGCCCATACCCCGCAGCATCTGCGCATGATGGGGCATGAGGGTGGAGTCTTGTCCCTTCTGCCCAGCTGCCACGTCCTTGGCTGCGCTGTTCCACACAGGTCGGGCCTGGAGGTGACTCTCCTCTGGGGGTCTGCTGGTGAGGGGGCTGTGGGGGGAGGTAGGGCTGGGGCAACAGCACACGTACCTACAGAGAGGGCTCTGAATGGTGCCTCTGGCACACATGCCATAGGTTCGCCACCACTGTCCTACAAGAAGATGCAGCCTTCTTTAAAGAGTTGCTGTGCTGGTAATCCTTTATGTAGATATGGCACCAGCAGTCAGAAGGCAAATGTATTATAGGTGTGTAGAATATGGATTAATTTACTCACACCTCCCATGTAACAGGTGTATAAGAGCATGCACACTCCAGCTTTATTTTTCTCCTTTGAAGCAGAATTAGTGCACAGCCCTACAAAACACTTGTATTCTAGTAGAGAAAGCAACAACACAATGTTATTTAAATAAATGTGAAGAAATGTAGCTCAGAAGACTACACCTCTGGTCCCAGTGACCAACCCAGATTGGATCCTGCAAGTTTTCCAAAGTTGCTGATCTGGAATTTTCTGGATGGTTCAATAGCCACAATGTCATCCATGACTGCAAAAACTACTCCCCGCTGTTATTCTTTAGTCACTGGGTTTGCTTTTCATGTTTGTTCTCATTGGGTGTGAAAAAGGTGGTGGTACAAGGGACAACTGGCCACTTTGCAAGGAAAAGATATTGGAGATGAGGGGATGGGGATGGAGGCATGATGCAATTCCCATTCATTATAAAAAAAGGGCAGAAGTTTTAGAAGAAATAAGTTCCT